ATAAGATAGATAGATAGATAATGGACAGAATGAGATAGATAGATAATGAACAGAATGAAATAGATTCTTAATGAACAGAGATAGATAGTAATTACCCGGTGAGGATCAAACTCACTACTCAGTAGTACTGGTCAGCCAGACTATTTCGCTAACTATTATTCACACTGAGTCGCCAAAATGGTTATTTAGTAAAAGCTTAGCATAATTTTGGAACAAGGCTACAGTTATCGGATACCCAGTGTGGATCGAACTCATTACTCAGTACTAATGGTCAACTAGATTAACCCTTTAACTGTTATTCCACATAGAATTACCATAATGGTTATTTACTAAGATTATATTAATTTTGCTAAAAGGCCACAAAGTATGGGGCATCCAGTGAGATTCAAACTCACTAGTCATCCGCAATAGTCAACTAGACTAGATTGCTAGCCGAGGCGTAAGTATAGGAGTTTTGCGGCATCAAGAGAAAATGTCCAGAAAATATTAACTTTGTACATAGGCCATGCAGAATTTTTTGAGATAAAATACTAACTTAATGAAAAGTACGCAAAATATTCTCTTTAAACATCTAATAAACAATGTGGCCATAACGCGCTAAACAAGAGGACAGGGATGAGTCAAACGAGATCTCTATAAGATTTTAAGTGCCTCTGATATGCGGAGTGGCATCACTCAACCTGAGGTCGGATGTGAATCTTTAAAACCTCACTATCATTAGACTTGAGGTCGATTGTGTTTAAATGAAGTGCAAACGGAGTTTTAAGCATTTTCAACTTAGATTTTCGACTGAAAAGCTTTGGAATGCGTGTTTTCTCTTAACCTTTTAGTATTCATTGTTTCACTAGTGGAACGCATCTTAAGATATTTTTATATCAAATTTGACCAAGTTTCGATAATACACAGAGAGAAGACTAATATAAAATATGTGTTTACACATCCTGTTAAAATACAATTAACGCTCATCTGGTATAAAAAATATCTTAAAATGTTCCACTAGGGAAACAATGGACACTGAAAGGTTAATTTTGGCTATCTCGTATCTGACTATTTTAGTAACTAGAAAGTTTAATGTTTACGGAAAGGCGTCTCGTCACAAGCTCAATACGTAATTATCATTGAACTACACTCTCTTCACACATCAGGGTTACGTATTGCGTAACTATTATCAGTGTGGAAAGTGGAATCGGCGTGTCGAGTTCAAATTCAGGCCTCGTCTGTTGCATTCATTTTTGCATTATTGCACTTGGAAAACGCTCGAATCTTTTTTTTCATACACAAGCTATGGGATAAATAACAGGGTAGACTGAACTCTCTATTCTTGGGTGGAAACCAGTCTAGGAGAAGACCTAATCTGGATTCAAAACCGGGTAGAAGGCAACGAAAAATGATTCCTCTATTGTTTCCAAAAGTTATAGGTGCGGAAGGGACTATCGATGAACCGGGTTTAAGTTCCAGCCATGTCTGTTGAGTCCACCTTCGCACTAATGTTTCTCGGGAAAATGCTCCCAATCCCCCCAAACGGACAGAGTCTGGTCAGGTCGAGGAAAAAAACGCAATTGCACCAAACTTAAGTTGCGAAATAGAGTGCCGTTTTCCGCGACGTATAACAGTCTGATAACTTGGTAACATGAAAGATAACTTAAAAAAAGAAAAAAAAAAAAGAAAAAAAGAAAATAGAAGAAAAGAAATAGAGATTTCCTCTCCTTTTATACAATTTAGGGGATCACCTGACAACCCTGTCACAGTGTAACTATAAAAGTTTAGTAAAGATAATAACAAGCCTTTTGTTTAGTAATGATTTCAACAACACAATGTAAGTACACTACTCCTTTCTGACCTAACAATTTATCCACGTGTTCTAGCGAAAGGCATGAATCCATTGCTTCTTCACCTAGAGCTTTCGGGGTAAATAGCAGGGTAGACTCGGCTCTGTAACAGTGAGTTACAGTAAATTTAAGGAAATGACTATTTTGAGTTCAAGGCAATAGGAAATTGCTACATTTTCCAAACGTTATAGCAATTCACAGAAGCAATTAAATCTTTGAAAACGATCAGAAATAAAATCTAAGCTGAGGACGCTATAAATATATAAAGATGATGTAAAACGTATCGAAATACAGCCATTCCTCACTTAACGACATATATGTTTAACGACCCCCAGACTTATGGCCAGCTACGCAATCTCATAAAATAATAATAAAATCTAACTAGTCGGTATTGTACGTTGAATGAACACGACTATGATTGTTTTATCTTTCTTCAAAATGTATCAAAATATATGAAATGAATAAATAAAGTAAAATAAAACGAAACTGCTGTCATTTACCCCCCCATAGAGAATCCTCCCTGCCTCCTATCAGAATGGCTGATACCCAACTTCAGGAGAGCACCTCTCTGCGCCTTCTTGGTCTCACGTTTTCCACTGACCTGAAGTGGAACTGCATTGAATCAATAGTTTCATATACTGCAAGGAAGGTTGGTTCTCTGTGTCGTGCCAGAAAGTTTTTTCTCGCTTGAGTCCATCCGTAAAATCTAAAAATGTACTGAACAGTAAACGTAATAAACAAATAACAAATACATGTTCGTATGCAGGTAGGGTCAGCGCCGAACTTCCGTTTCCTTCAGCTTAAAAATAATAAATTCGGACCGCATATTTCAGCCAATCAGAGAACTGCCCGCCCTTGCATTGAATACTGTTACCATATATGGTCTGGTGCTCTCACTGTTCATCTCGAGGTCCTAGACAAAATCCAGTGACGGACATGCAATGTGATAGGTCCTGATCTGGCATCTCGACTACAGTCACTTTCTCACAGACGTGAAGTGGCTTCCCTCTGCCTTTTCTACAAAATATTTTCATAGCAACTGATCTGGCGAGCTACATACACTGCTACCCCAACTGCCTAAATTTAAGCGTGCTACTAGGTTCTCAGTCCCACCCTTTCACTGTCGAAACAGTTAAATGTAACCGCCTCTTCTACTCAATAGCTTCTTCTCTAGCACTTCGCGCCAGTGGAACTCCCTTCCTCTTACTTGTTTCCCTGATAGCTATAATCTTCAAATCTTCAAATATAATGTCATTCGACATCTTCTGATGCCTTGATTCTGATCTCCACCCTTCTCTATATAGTTTCCTCAAACACCGCTCTTTAATCTTGCTCTCACTCTCTCTGTGACCACTTGCGTGATAGTGGCACTCCTGCTTTACTTGGGGTAAAATGCTTAAAAAATTACTTGTACTATATTTACACGAGACAAACTGATGTAATGTACAGAATATAGAGCTGATTATCAAAATTGTTTATTACGTTTGTCGGAGTTAAACTCCTCCTTCAGTCCGTTAATCCTTTCACCAGGGGTCTCTCTTCCCTGGCTATAAATAGCCGCTGACTCTTCACCTCATTCTCTTTTCCCTTCAGGATTTCAGCTATCAACCTCGAAATGTAGTCGCTAACAAGGGATAGCGTGGAAACACGCTAAGCACAATACACACACACGCACGCACATACAGAATATTCATACACGCACGCACATACAGAATATTCATACACGCACGCACATACAGAATATTCACACGCACGCACATACAGAATATTCACACACACTTCGTCCTTTGTACTGTTTCCATGTATTGTAACTTGTTATTAATATATATTTGTATATACATATATTATCGGTCTTGTTTTGTTTGCGTTCTTTACCTTCTACTTGATTATTTCTCTTGTTGCTGTCTTTGTTACATTTGATATTGTAAAAATTGTAGAGGGTCGGTTTTTATTTCTATTTATAAACAATACAAATTGGCTGACCCACTATACGTTTACTGTTCAGTACATTTTTGCCGGAACTGCGGTCTCTGTGATAATTCCATAACAAAAAGATTTAAAAGAACACAGAGAATGGAAATAACATTCAATAACAGTGATTTTAATTAACGACAGTTTTGATATTTGAAGAGTGAGTAAAGTTCACCGTATTCAATAATCTCAGTACGAGGGTTAATACAGAAATATCAGATTTATGTGTTTTGTTCTTTAGATTGAATGTCTATGTGAAAAAGAAAATAGTGTATAATATTTTTGTAGCTGTGTGTGAGAGAGAAAAGCATGTATCATTTAGTTGAGAAAAAGCAAGTCCTAAATGTACCAAAGAAATGACCGACGTGGCTTCCAGTAACAGTGTTTGAAAAAAAAAAAGCACTAAGTTAATTCTCTTTCCTTTTTATACACTTTGTTGAAACAGGTGCTGGATAAAATGGCTACGCGATCTTTTTGGCTGAAATATGTGATCCGAAATTATTATTTTTAAGTTGAAAGAAACGGTAGTTCGGCGCCGAACCTATCTGCATACGAACGTGTATTTGTCATTTGCATTTTTGATTCTGAAGCGTTAATTTCCTGTTCGATGATGTTTGTGTTTCCACACACCAGAAACGTTACAAATGGTGCAAGAGTGATATTAAAGTTAAGTGGGACTGTTAGACATAAATTCATTATATGCATAACATACCTAAAATAGCCGTCAAGTACAACCTCTCAATTAGCGACGCGGTTATGGGAAAAGAACCGAGTTAAGTGAATTGTGGCTGTCATTTAAAAGCAGGCTCCACCCTGGGAGAACTTGCTCTTAATAATCACTATGCCCTTTGTACTTGATATAATAATGTACTTGTAAAATTTACATATTACGTGATCCCAATCTTTTGATTTAGTTTAGGCTTCACGTATAGAATTTGTATAATTCGTGGTCTTTAATAATAAAAAAAAAACCCAAAACATCACAATGATTACAAAATATATTTTCATTGTATTCATTGTTAATGAAAATATTGGCGTAAGTGCAAAAATTATGCTAAAATATATAAATAACATCTGAATTAGGCACTTCACTTTTAAACAATTTTTCTTCCCATTGAATATTTGACTTATAACATTGGAAACATGTACAGGTCGCCTGTGTCGACGTGTTCTGAATGTTTGATTTATAACATTGGAAACATGTACAGGTCGCCTGTGTCGACGTGTTCTGAATGTTTGATCTATAACATCGGAAACATGTACAGGTCGCCTGTGTCGACATGTTCTAAAACAAAATAGGTGCAAAACCAGTACTTAATATTATGGAAGATTTTACTAGTAAACATAATAGTCATTTGCTATTTTAATATAAACGAAAAAATAGTATTATTTACACTATTTATATTTGGACTATTGTCATCATCTTTGTTGTTGCTATCACTACGTTTGGGCCATTGTGCTTCCTCAGATATCTATCTATCTATCTATCTATCTATCTATCTATCTATCTATCTATCTATCTATCTGTGTAACCTACAGGGAATTCTGAACTGAACACTTTACTGGTGTTTGTTAGTGTATATACATTTAGAAACATTACAAATGGTGCAAGACTGACATTAAAGCTATCTGAAGCTTAATAACACAAACCCATTACAGGTAGTGCATGCCTGAAATAGCGGTTCAGTACAACTTTAATACAAATTTAGCGACCAGGTCATTGTTAAAGGAACCAGGTCGTTAACTGAAGGGTGGCTATATTAACATCACAACCATCATTTCCTTTTTCAGAGTTACTTTTTCTTTACAGTTCTACTGACATTTATATCTAAAATTCTTTTACGGGTATCCATTAAAATGTTTATATTTGGAGAGTAACTGAGAGTCGATTTCGTTAACAGGCAGTGATAAACTGAAAATGCATTATTATTTAGAACAATTCTTGTTTGTTTATTTTCTGCAGCATGTTTGATCCGGCATTATGGAAAGTTGGGATCGGCCAGGAACATTTGCATATAAGAGGGAAGAAGCAGCGAGATGTTAAAATATCGAAAATAATTCTTGTTTGTTTAAGTTTGAGCATAATTATCCGACATTTCAAGTTTTTGTGTCTTATGAATTTTATTATCGAAAATCATTGTAATTTTTTTTTTGTTGTTGTACAGTTTTCTTTTTGGATTTGGGAGAGAGAGAGAGAGAGAGAGAGAGAGAGAGAGAGAGAGAGGGCGAGAGAGGGAGAGAGAGAGAGTAGCGGGAGTCCCTATAAAGAAAACATAATATAGATATTTCCCTCCAAAATATATGCGTAATGGGAGTGTAAGGAAAGAGAGAATATTTCCAGTTGCCCCATTATAGTCATTAGTATATCCGTGATATACTAACTAATTCCTTAAAACAACGGAAGAATTTCTGTATTTAATTAATCAGTGATGTATATATTTTGGGAATAAAATGAACAGTTTCAGTAAAATAACAAAACTAGCAAATCAGAATTAAGCCTTCAGCGCTGGCCACTCAAACAAGAGATTGAGAATCTAAAATTGCGTCCATTTAAAAAAAACAAAAACATTCATAATCACAGTTCATAGGAATCAAATAAATTTTCTTGAAATACAAAGTTCATCACTTGTTGACGATGTTCTTCTTATCTTCAGTGGGGAATGTTTCGCTTCTGGTTGATTTCTTCGTTTTTACGGCCATATCACGTTGAAATACCAGTTCCGATATGATCACCGTAGTTGAGCAACATGTACTAATGGAAAATAAAATTGCAACACTCTGTGCACGTGTATCAATTTACGATTCACGATTATTCTGATTGATAACTGAATTTTAAAAAATATTAATCAAAAGTACAAAACTGCAAATATTCACAGAGAATAAACGAAGAAAAAACATCCAAATCTCAATTGTGAGAAAACTGATTGGCAAAACTCGCTGGGATATAATCTGCCGTATCAAATCATGCAATGCACCATTATCATAGGTTGGCCATACCTTTACTCAAATGTTTAAAAATTTATTCTTCACTGCTGAAATCTTTTTTTGATTGGCGTGGTAACAAATTAAGCAAACTCATCTCCCCTTTCGCTTGCATCCATCCATTATAATAAAATAAAAGTTTTCATCACTAAAGGTGAATTAGTCAAATAAAGCTTCTTTATTACATTTCACGTGACACAAGGCCGTAGAGGAATTGGAGAAAGACGTGTTGTCATTGACTATCCTACACGTAGCTAATCTGATTCAATCTGATTAACAATCCATTCATTCTTTCAACTGATTCAATCACCAAAAGAACCCATCCATCTTCACCAAATCCAACATTTACCAAAATATCACATATCCACAGGGAACCTACTAAAACTTCATGATATAACTTTTTTTTTTTTACAAAAATATAAAAGAACTATTTCATGAAATGATAGGTGGGGGTGGTGAAATGAAATAAGACAAAACACTCAAACTAAAACAAAATTATATTAGTAGGATAGGTCCACCCCACAAAAACAATAAGAGCCAGTGCTGTATTCTGCAAATAAGTAAAATTAAGAAGGCGAGGAAGGGACATAATAAGTTGCATAGTGGGAAAAATCAAAGGCTGGTTCAGTCAAGATAAAAAAAAAAGGCGGTTAAAAACAAACTGGAGAGATTGGGAATCTTGACAAGGACCAAAACAAAAGAGAACTCTGGGAGCAGGTCGGGAACAGCAATCACATTAACCAGGTGAACAAAATAGTCCGGCTTAACTAGGACAGGGGTTCGTCAGGAATCCGACCCGTTGTGTCTATAGGGGACTAAAGAAAGAAATCAAGGCTGGCCCTATTAACGCAAACCAAGCTCACGATTTTTACCCACCTTTCAGTGAAATCTGCCGATAGCAAACGCTTTCTAACAGTTCTGGTCTTCATCCAGAGTTGATGCCCAAAGAATCCAATCAGATCCGGATAAGAATAACGTTCGTATCGTAAGATTCCCTCCATCTGCGTCACCCATACCACCTTTCTTGGCATAGCTAGCAGCGTAATAAACATCATTTGTATCTTAAGTTGCTATATAACAATTCTTTTTTGTTTTCATTTTGGTATTTGTTGTCCTTCTTTTTCCCGAAATCTTTCTTTTGAAATCGTAAGTCTTAACTGTTCCACCGAAAAGAAGAAAAATGTATTTTCTTTCTCCCCCACTTTTTTTATTATCTTTTTTGACAAATAAATTGTATAATTTCAGCATCCTTCGTTTGCATTGTTGGATGATGTTGAACCCGTGGGAGACATGAATTCCACGGCACTGAACAATCGATTCGACATTGCCTTGGTAAAACTAGAAGAAGTTTTACAGTTGACCGAAGTCGAAAGTGTAAAAGTGTGTTTACCAATTCGGAAATTAAACGAGACGATAACAGAGGAAGAAGATAACACAACGGATATAAATGACGATATGAACACTAATCTTGAAGATTATGACCAAATCCACATGGAAGAAGAAGAAAAAGAGAAAGAAGGAGGAGGAAGAGATGACAACAGAATGATGAGAGATGAAGAGGAGGAGAACTTAGAAGTGATAAATAATGCAATTAATGCTAGTCGAAAAATTAGCTATGAAGATATTTCTCAGGATATTGAACAATCACTCACTTGTGGAATGGCTGGATGGGGCATTGATAAAAGTAAGTGACCGATGAAAACCTTTGATTATTTTTAATCGTTCATTTGTTTCACTTTATCGTGTTTTTTGCATTTTTATATTTTTCAAAATGTTGATTATTTTTTCCTTCTTTCTTCTATATAATAAATGTCATTGTCAATGTGTCACACTTTTTCAATTAAAGGGACACAACTCTTAATAGCTAATCTTCTATATAATAATTGTCATTGTCAGTGTGTCTGTGTGTCACACTTTTTCAATTAAAAGGACACAACTCTTAATAGCTCATCTTCTATATAATAAATGCCACTGTCAGTGTGTCAGTGTCACACATTTTCAATTAAAGGAGCACAATTGCCAATAGCTAACCTATATAATAAATGCCACGGTCAGTATGTCACTGTGTCACACTTTTCATTTAAAGGGACACAACTGTCTAACTTTCAATAGCTCATGTTACAGAAATTTTGGATTTCCAAGTTTTCATTATTGCAATGGTTTTTAGCTATTTTTATGTGATTTTTTTCGACAATTTTTTTTGTACAATCGCAATTTTTATAACTTGGAAATAAATTTGGGAATAATCAAAATTAATTGTGAACTCCAGTGAAATCACCCATTAAATAAAAATAATTGTTTGCGCGAAAATTAAAGACCTACACACAACAAATTGTCTTTAAATTAGATAGCGGGAGAAGAATTATCATTGAACTTTTAAAAGGTAAGCTTAGATATTAATGCAATACTTAAATGCAGTGATCAATTTTGAGTTCTTCTGTAGTTTATTGTTGCATATCACAAATGGTAGCAGTATGTCTCACAAAAAGAAATCTCCGCCAACAGATGACCAGATTGCAATCAAAAGAATTAAGGCTGCAGCGAGGAAAAGAAAGTCCTGTGCAAATGAAAGCCCAGATCAAACTGCATCCAGGAGAACTTCCAATGCTGAGAATATACAAAGACTTAAGGACTCTCAAACTCCTCAAGAAGAAGAAGAAGGCCCAATTAAGAGCCCTTCGATAGAGCAGCTTTTAAGCTAGTTTAAAATGTTCTTCAAGTCTTACTTTTCATTTTTTTCTTTTCTTTCTTTCTTTTAAAACTTGTTTGATGTTTTCCTTTCTTTCTTCCTTTCTCTCTTTCTTTCTTTTAAAATATTCCTTGTGTCTTTCTTTTATTTTTGTTAAAGAACATACTTGCTTTCCTTTAAAGCTGATTTGATGTCTTTTCTTTCTTTCTGTCTTTTTTTCTTTCTTTTTTCTTTCTTTTAAAAATCTTCCTTTCTTTCTGAAACCTGCTTGGTGTCTTTGGCATTAATGTGTTCAATTCTAATGCAAACAATGACTACTTAACTCCTTTATATACAAGCCAATATTTTTTCTGGTGATTTATTTTTAAGGAAGCCAGTTGTTGATCTCACAATTGACATGCAACCTTCCAACTGCCTTCCACTTATCACATTCGTTTAATTAGGCAGTCTATTTAATCAAACAGTCTACCTTGTTCTGTTCAAATATTTATTGGCCTCCCCAGTTGTTTTAATGTGTTGTCTCACATGTATACATATCGTGAGAGAGACAAATTGCCCACTACTCTGTAGGTGATACCAAATTTGTCTGGAGTCAAGGTGATACCAGATTTGTCTGTAGTCCTGAAAACAGATTGAGATGGATAAATATGAACAGATTAAGATAAATATGAACACACACACACACACACACACACACACACACACACACACACATATATATATATATATACATACATGGGGCACTATATAAATTGTCACCATTTTATATTTTTAATTTTGCACATATATATTGTTTATTTTTGATTTTGCTGACTGCACAGTATAGTAGGGTCAGTTGGGCACCATCTGTGAGGAAAAGAGCGCCATGATGCAATTCTATCCACTAGAAATTTGGAAAAAGCATGCTGTACTGCTTAACATTTGTACCAGAAGCTCCAATATGAACATTTCAGAGTGTTTGGGCATCAATCTGAGTATAGTACAAAGGATACGGAAAGATGAGTCTAATGATGATTATGAAGTTATCTGGAATGATCACTAGTGATGGTGGCATTATGTCTCCATTCATTTTCTCACAGGGCCTTAGACTCAACACAGACAGCTACATCCAGGACAATGAGGAAGTAGTGCTGTCCTGGATTAAGTGGCTGGCTTCTGGAAGACAATATATCTGGCAACAGGATCCTGCACTATGCCCCACAAGCAGGAGAACCCAATCATGGCTGTCAGACAATTTCTTTGACCACATCACCCCTTATATCTTGCCACCTAATTCCCCCTGATTGCAACCCCCTTGATTATTATATGTGGGGTGCAGTTGAGCATGAGACCACCAAAACTCCTTGTAACACTGAAGGCAAGGATTATGGAGCATTCACCAACTTAAACAAGGAGACCGTCCAGAAGAGTTGCAGGAGATTCTGAAGTTATCTGGAAGCTGTGGTTGAAGCCAACGGTGATTTTATTGAATAAATTTACTCTTTAGTATTCCAAGATAGTTTTGTGCAATTTTGGTAAATGTATCTGTTAAAATGAGATTTCAGTGTTATTTTCCTTTTTACATAATTTAGATGACTATTTACCCATCGCACCTGTACATACATACATACATACATACATACATACATACATACATACATACATACGTACATATGAACATGAAAAGAGATAGATATATATGAATAGACAGATATAGGTATGAACAGAAGTAGATTAATGGATATAGCTACATTCTTTCTTCCCCTTTTCTTCACACCTTGTTGTTTGTGTAGTGTCTACTACTGCTAGTAGTAGATATAGTAGCCTTTAAGTTGCTAGTATTTCATGGATGAAACTGTTTCATTTGTAATTTTTTGCAAGTTTCATCATGTTACATTTTGATTGCAATACTGAAGATGTTCTAATTTTTATGACTGCAAAATGTGTGAATTGAAAACAAAAATAACTATATTAAAATATATTAGAGTGTATTGAAATGATTTTCATTTTTTTACAAACATTTACCCTGTAGTGTTTGCTGTCCTGGGTATGATGATAAACTACATCCACATCCAGGGTAAGATGAAAAACTATGTCCAACAGCAAGGCCTCTGATCAGGAAGTTTTGAGGAGTGTGGAACCACCTCTTAATTGCTGGTGTTCCCAGGTTCACCTTGACCTGGGGTGGTAGCACCTGTTAGGGTCCCAGCTATGGGAAAATAGTTAACCCCAAAACTGAGGTAAAAAGCATTTTGAAAGTGTAAAAAACAGGTTTTAATACCAGCAATATGCTTTTGAAAAAAAATATTACCAGCAATGCATTTTTTAAAATAATATTACCAGCTATATATTTTTAAAGAAAAAAATATTACCAGAAATAAATTTTGACAAGATAAAATATTACCAGGAACAAAAAGTTGTCGGCATTAAATAACCCATTGAGGTTGATATGCCATAAAACAAACCAAACCAAACCCTGTAGTGTTTGTGAAGAAAAACTTCAAAAATCTATATAAATTAACATTTGTTAAACACACTAGACATTATTGGAACATTATTAATCTATTAATTTTGGGGATAAGGAGTTATCATTATTTACAATATTTATATTTAGACTATTGTCCTCATCTTTGTTATTTTTATTGTAACAATTCTGCCACTGTGGCCTCTGGCCTTTCTCATATATTGATCTGGGTAACCTACAGGGAATTCTGAACTGAACCCTTTATTTAATCTATGGGGGTAGACTGTTCTCATTCTATTGCTGATGTCTATGGACATCGTTCCATTTTTATTAATATTTAGCATTGCTGTTTCCGGTTATTTCAGTTACAAGTCATTGCTCACCCATTTTCACTGAGTGCAAGTACACCCAGGGATTGAACTCACAACCACTATGTCACCAAATTCCCAAACCAATGATTTTACCCACTAGGACAATTTGCAGGAATAAAGTTAGATATTTAAACCTAACCTTATTGTTGAATAGGTTGCTACTGTTGAGTGTGTTTTGATTGCTGCTGCATGTGAAGATGTGCTGTCATTTGTCTTTCTTTTGTTGTGATAAAAACAAGAAAAATGAGGACAATAGTCTGAATATAAATAGTGTGAATGATATTTTCTTAATCAATTCTATACAAAATAAAAATAAAACTCTTTTTATTGAAAATTATCAATAAGATATATCCCCAATGAACGGATGCAAAATTAAAATTTAATTAACCTCTAATTTATAAAGAAAAGATAAAATTTACACAGCATTTAAAACATATCAAATAATTAATCTGCCAAGTTACAGCTTTTTTTAAATATCAGCCTTATTTATTATATTATTATTTTTATTTTCTTTGATTTCTGGCGTTTACACATTTCTTTCCGGGTCCCGCCCAGGGACCTAAAGTTAGAAATGGCATCATGACACTTTCCACTGACAAAAAAAAATTACATAGATAAAGCCCTTCGTAAAGTGTGGGCTGTACTTGTCAGAACAATTTTTTGTATCTCCTTGAGGCATGGACTTCCAGGAATCCCTTCAATTAGTCTACTGCAATCTTTTCCAACCAGTCCTAGGGCTCCAACTACAACAGGGATTGTTGATGTTCCTATATGCCACATTTTCAAGATTTCTATTTCAAGGTCCTTGTATTTTGACAGCTTTTTGAATATCTTCAAAGATACATTGCAGTCTGAAGGAACTGCTATATCAATAAGGAGGCACTGTTTTTGTTTGTGGTCTTTAATAACAATATCTGGGCAGTTGGCTTTGATTGTTCTGTCAGTGTGTATTGTGTAGTCCCATAGAATTGTAGCAGGTCCTATCTCCGTAACCGGGTCTGGGTGGTGTTCATACCATTTTCTTTCAGTTTCCTTCCCGTAGAAGTTGCAGATTTTCCAGATCAGATATTGGCACACTCTGTCATGTTGGGTTTTATATTCAGTGGGTGCCAATATCATGCAACCTGATACAAGATGATCAATCGTTTCTAGATATTTATCGCAGAATCTGCATATTGGGCTGACACATTATTTTAGTATATGTGCTTGATAATTCCTAGTTAGCAAGCATTGGTCCTGTGCAGCAAGGATAAAACTTTCAGTTTCAGCTTTCAACCCTGCACTAGCCATTGATGGGTATGGGTTTTGTCTATGTCAGCCTGTTTGGTACGGGCCATGAAGCGGTTTATCTTGCCATCGCTCCTGTATCTGGTTAGTTGCATTCATCTTTGCTGTCTTTTTTAAGTATTTTGCAGTTTCAGCCGGTGTATTGTGCTTTACTTGCATCTCTACGCCCATTTGAAACTCCTTATTATTATTATCATTATTATTATTATTATATATTATAATTATTATTATTATATTATATTATTATATTATATTCTATTATTATATATTATTATTATTATCATTATTATTATTATTATTATTACATTATTATTATATTTTATTATTATATATAAGGCTGTTATTATTATTATTATTACATTATTATATTATATATTATTATAATATATTATTATTATAGTATTATTATTATATATTATTAATATAAATTATTATTATTATATACTAGGGTGATACTATTATTATTATATTATTATATTATTATATATTATTGTTATCATTATATATTAGGGTGCTGCTATAAACATTATATTTCATTGCTGCATTAAATATAATGTAAATAGTAATAAGAAATAAAATTGGATCAAAATGAAATTCATTAATTGCACCAAGAGTTCCTTTAAACTGATTTTTACAGATTAATTTAATGTGAGGGGCTTAAATATATTTGATAATTTCTGAGGAAATATACATTCTGCTTTTTTTTTCAGTTGGAAGCTATGGACCTTTTTTGAGAGCCATACAAGGAAATATTATTTCTAGAGAAAACTGTTCACAAGTTTATAATATAAGCTTTGAAGAAAATATTTTGTGCTTTGGAAATGGTTACCCTGGGCCCTGCAAGGTAAAAAACAAACACACACACACACACACACACACACACACACACACACACACACACACACACACACACACACACACACACACACACACACTAAATCATTCAAATTTCTAAATATGTTGTTTTGTGTTATTGGTAAATTTGCCAAAATTCATATTAACTTTTATTTTATATTATTTTATCCTGATTACTTTTGAATGTTGCTACATTCACTTTTAAGGATTTTTCTGTTGTTATGCAACTGGTTTTTAATTCCAGTATTCTCATGTTTGATGGAATAATAATTGATGGATGCATAACAACGCACAGAAAAATCCTCAAAAATGAATGTATCAAGATTCAAAAGTATCAAATGTATCAAAATTCAAAAGTATCAAATGTATCAAGATTCAAAAGTATCAAATGTATCAAGATTCAAAAGTATCAAATGTATCAAGATTCAAAAGTATCAAGATTCAAAAGTATCAAATGTATCAAGATTCAAAAGTATCAGTGGGCGCGGGTAGGGGTGGAATAATCTAAAACAAAAATTAATATGAATTTTGGCAAATTTACTGATAATGCAAAACAACTTATTTGTAAATTTGAAAGATTTAATGCAAGAAATGGATAAACAGAACTTGTTCATATCATATATAAAGTTTGCTGGACTTTATCAAGGCAAATGTAACAAAAAACATATTTATAAACAAAAGTAAAAATGGTTTCACTTTTTAAAATTTTAAAAATTTCTTTTCTTAAATTTAAAAATTTTGAAACATTCATAAATATTATTCTTCAGGCTAAACATGAAGGTTATTTTTTTTATATATATATATATATATATATATATATATATATATATATATATATATAAAACAATAATATATAAATTTTTATATAACATTTGGTTGAAAAAATATCACTCAACAATGCAATGCCTAGCCAAAAGAAAAAAAAAACAATCAAGTAAATTAAGAAAAACATAAAAGTGCTCAATAACTTAGTAGAGCAAATTATAAAAACCTAGTGGGCCAGGATCTACCTACCAAGGTTTCACCTAATAGATCTTCACCTAATAGATCTTCACCTAACAGATCTTCACCTAACGGATCTTCTTAACTGGCTAAAGAGGATAGGTCAAAGCAACATATTTATAGGTAAAGACAACCACCATAGACTGAAATTAGCATAAAACCATAAAATGATAAAAAGGTAAAAAGATAAAATTAAAATAAAAAAAGCCACACTATTCTTTTATTCCAGTAACCAGACTTTCTTGAGGATTTCTGATCTTTGCTTAAGTTACTAAAAGTAGCTATGGCTAGTTTTTCCCACATGCAGAGGAGGCAATGCCTATTACTAGCTTTATATTTGTAACATTTCTTTATTATCTTCAATTTTAAAATGGGATCAACTCCTTAATTTTTGATTTTCCACACATGGCTAGATAGACTAATTCTATGCTTGTAACTCTCATGTTTGAAACTGCTTATGCGGTTATAATCTCTTTTTGAAAGGTCACTGAGTTGAACCGACATAAACTTTTTTTACCATCATGACCATTGCTAGATTCATTTGTAAATAATAGCCAGTTATACCCTGAAGATCTATTAGCTGAAACCTTGGTGGCTCACTCGTTTTATATATATATATATATATATATATATGTATTCTTTAAGGCAAATATTAAAAACAACAGACATTTTAATTTTCCAGATTATGAATAATCCTTCTCAGATAAGAAGGAAATTCTGTCAGAAATTGTCCAAAATTCAGTTTGGAAGAAAAGTACAAGAAATATAGTCTAAGCTTTCAACTTTCTTAAGTCATCATCAGGGTAGAGTTTCAAAGAAAGTGTGTATTGTAGGCAAAGACTAATGGTGTCAATAACAATTTCAGTAATAAAACCACAGTTGTAAACATAATTTTGATAATAATATTTTATACACACTTCAATATAAAATTTCCTGTAGCCAAATACATTTTATTTAATGTGGGTCATTTTATATTATCATTAATTTATTTTATAATTATCATTATAATTTTCTTTTAATGTCAAGTGCATATTGATAAAAATAAAAATAATTTTTTTCAGGGTGATTCTGGCAGTCCAGTCACATGTGAAAAAAATGGACAATATTACATCATTGGAATTGTGTCCTGGGGTGTTGAACAGTGTGGCCTTGAGGGATATCCCACCATCTTAACTCGCATAGGATCCTATCTTGATTGGATACAGCAAACAATGAATGGTAAAGAAGAATGAGGCTGTTTTTCTTTTCTTTTTGCAATTGGGCATTTACAGACATATTCCAATATATGGATTTACAGACTTTCTCATTTTTTAAAAAATCTTGAAAATTTAACAATTGACAGAGCAAAAATTTATTAAACACATTCGCTGAAACACATATGCGCAGGCTGCAGATGTAACTGAAGAATTTCAATTCTTTTTGAAACAAATTTATTTTAGAAATTCCATGTAAAAAAAATAAAAACATTGTTATAAGAATATTATGATCTAAGGGAGATAACTCCAAGTGTCATAAGAAAATTGCGAAAAAATTTCAACTCATGGGATAAAATTCAAATATAGCTCAGTGGTCAAAGGGAAACAACTCCTATTTTAAAATCTAAAGTTATTCCCCTTGCATAATGGAATTCAAGGTATTTTTTCGATATTTAATGTAATCACCTGTATATTTTTAAAATATTTTTAAAAACCAATAAATAGAAATTATTATTCTTTTTAAATTGATTTTCTTTTGTTACTAACTTTGCAACCAAAATGTAAAATTCATATGAATAATTTTTTCTAGCTTATAGTAAAGTTAAAACCTCAACTGCATAACGTTTACAATATAGTAATTGTCTCAGTCACCCTTTTTATCGTTATTATTGTGTTGTAGGAGGCACAATGGGATAATGGATTGCGACCAAGATTGAGAAATCGGAAAGCCGAGTTCGAATTCCGGTCAAATTCATTATATTCATTTACATGCTAATTACCCTTGGGAAAAGTATGAACCTGTATCCCCACCCCCAAGCTATGAGTAAATAGCAGGACAAACTGGGAGGAGGAGAACTCTGAATTCAAACCATCCTGGAGAGTGTTGGGCTCTGTCAGGCTATCTTCAGGTTCCCCTACAACTTTAATAAGTTACAGGACACATGATCGTGATTGTCTTGTGTGGGTGAAAAACAGTGCATAAAATATCTGATGATGGTACAGAGAGAATTCGTGTGAAACTATTTCCATGGAACACTTAAGTTTATAAAATAACATTTTATAAGATGACTGGCCACTCGTATCCGAGTGTGCCTGTCTGCTAGGGCAACTAGCCAATCCCTATTGCAGACGCCTGCTCAGTCATATTTCTTACAATTTCAGGAAGACAGCGCATCATTTGACGTGATCAACAATTTGAACAAAGCCTCAGCCACGATGGCTTGTGACTTCGTGCTAGCACAACCGTAAAAGACCAATTACGTTTACCCAATTTAACTCACAAGTCTTAACTCATAGTACTGAGGCCAAAATTTGACAATCTCTAAAACTGGATGTATATTCAAATTCACTAAGCAATAAAGCCATATTTTGACCAAACTATCAGAAGACAGGTTACAAAATATCCTGGTATAATGAGCGAATCAGAAACAAAAACTTCTGGAAACCAGTATATAATGTCATTAATTAATGAAAATTAAAGCAGCATTTTCGAATTGGATTTCCAGATATGTATATAAAATTAACCTGAACCAGGATCATTGAATTAATTTTGTCTCTTCTCCGATGTCGCAGTCATCGTAACATCGAAATGACACACTTGCGCGACCAGGTGGCGACCTGAGACGTCTACACAGTTTTGCTACAAATTATTAAAAGATTCATTCTGTCACCACATTTTCGAGCAAGCGACTATTACGTTTGGATATATACGTATACATACATTCATATTTACTTTTCGCTCGAACTGTTTCTCTCATTCTTTCCCGTATGCATCCACAAAATACATCATAAATCTTACTGACAAATCGTCGATCTCATGTTTGTAAATCAAACATTCTAACGATCGGTCACTCAGCTAAGATATATTAATGTAAAAATTGTTGTGGTATCCCAAAAATAAATAAAATTAAGTAATTACTTTTTACAATCTAGAAATGACCTGCCAGCCGAGCCCATAAATAAAGCTTTTCTCTATTATCTGCCATTGGGCAGTCTCCACTTTTTTCGGCAAAATTTTCGATACCTAACTTTAAAATAAATTTTTAAAAAATGAAAAACATGCTTGAAGATTTCATTTTAGCTTTAATTGAAAGTTTAATCATTAAATTTATTATTTCCATTAAGGAAACAATTTGGTGTATTTCAGATAGAAACTATATACATTGAATGTCAAATTTAATTTTGGAATTTTAAATTTTCTTAAATTCCCGCCATTTTCTTAATTTTAAGAAATTTGTAAACAAACACAAATTTATCGATTTTAAAAATATTTAAAAAGTTTCTGACACGTTATTTTAGTAAAATTAGAAAATTTAATGTTAAATTAATCTGATTTAAAAGAAATATTACTTGTTACTTATAGCATAAAAAAAGTAATATACAACCAATTATTAACGGGTTGGTACTATTTTTATCCAATATTTGATCTACGTGTTGAGGACGAGTGATGACATAATTTTTAAGCTGAGTTTTTAAAATATTACTACGGATGACCATGGAAAAAAAATAAAAAAATTATTAGAAAATCTGAAAAAGTGAAATTAATTTTTTTTTAGTTTTACTGAAAATACAACCTGTAAAAACGAAATGTTTTTTTATAATAATGGCAAAATTTCAGTCTACTGTACATGGAAATGAGGAACGTATTAAAAAAAAAATACAACATAAAAAATTATTTGAAAAAAATTAGCACAACTAACTTTATTAAACTTTGCAATTTTGAACTCGTAAATTTTGTTTCTACTTAATTACTAATTACCACAAGGAAATAACCTAATACAGAATTTTGCACGATTTTAAACTATTATAAATTATTATAATTAAAATTTAAAACAAATGAAAAAAATTCTTGTAAAATTTAATTATTCATCAGAAAAAATGATTTCTTCAGGCAATAATGACCTTAATATTACTTATTTACAAAAGCAATTAAAAGCTTTTCTAATTAAGTAGTATCATAGATTTATTGGATTCATTATTTTTCAATTCAGAACAGATTTTTAGTTAGCGTAAATTTGAAAAAAAAAAGTAGGTGATTTACCATCTCTAATGACACTTACTTTAAACAAAAAAAAAATTTCAGGAAATAAAAAGGTTTTGAATGAAATTTCAGGACAATAAGTAAGTGGGTGTAACATATTAAAAAAAAATTTTTTACCAAAATTTTCTAGAAAGAAATATTTAAAAAATAATTCCATTCATTTGTGAATAAGTCCTGAAAATTTCATTAAAATCGGACAATTACTTGATTTTTACGTGAATTTCCAAATCAATGTGTTTTCAACGGGAAAAAACGCAAAAAAAACAATGTTATTTTTAACAGCACCGCGATGACAAAAAAAAGGAAGACTTTAACCAAAAAATTTCGAACGTGTTAGAAAATATTAAAAAAAATCAAAAAATAATTAAAAAATACTTTGGTCTTTCATCTTAATAATAACATAAGCATTTTGACGATAAAACTTTATTTTCGTTAAGTTTGTGGCATTTTTCATTACGCTATGCTGTTTTCCCGCGAAAAAGTGGACGTCGCTAAGTAAAAGTATCGAGAAAAATATTCTGTGTTGTTTTTTCCTTTCTTTTCTTATTTATTTATAATTTATTTCTATTAATATTATTTAAAATATATAATAATAATTCTTAAAGAGGTACATTTGATGACAAACTGTTTACTCCGAAATTCAAATAACAAAATATCTATAAAAGTGTTTATGCATAAATTTATGTTACTTTGCGATGGTAGACTGTCGCCATATTATATATTTTTAATTACGCGCATGCGCGTTGTTTGTTTTTGATTTTGTCCACTGCACCGTACGGTCGGTCAGTTGGACACCGTCTGTGAGAAAAAGAGAACCATGACGCAATTCACTCCGCCAGAAATCGCCATTAGACTCATTCAACTCTTTCCGAATTCTCTACCTTGTCCTCATATTGACACCCAAACACACTGAAATGTTCGTATTGGAGCTTCCGGTGTGAATGCCAAGCAGTGCAGCATACCGTTTTGTATGTTTGTATTGCAAACGGAATTAAATTTTCCAGTAAAACCTCCATTATATATTCAATAATATCTGATGCGAACTTTTGGGAAAGTATAACAAATGTAACCACAAAAAAAAAAACAAAAAAAAAAAAATTTTTTAACTTTTTATTTACGAGGAAAAAATACACACCGTACAAATTTTATTTTCGAATGATATCTACATAGTAAAACATATGACATTTAAACAGAGATGCAATGTAATAGGTTCTAACCTGACATTTCGACTACTGTCACTTTCTCACAGACGTGATATGGCTTCCCTCTGTCTTTTTTACAACTATTTTTATGGTAACTGCTCTGACTTTTTAAATTTCAACCCCAACTGCATGAATTTAAGCGTATTACTAGGCTCAAAATATCTCGGTCTTTTCTATTCATTTCACTGTCGAAACAGTTAAATGTAACCGCTTCTTCTACTCCAACTTTTTCTTCTTTCTAATAACTTCCCGACAGTGGAACTCCTTCTTCTTACTTGCTTCCCTGAGAGCTATGATTTTCAAATATTCAAATGTAATGTCAATCGACACCTTCTGATGCCTTGACCTTAATCCCCGTCCTTACTTTATCCTTCCCTCAAACACCCTCTTTACTTTTTTGCTCATTCTCTGTAACCTAAAGTGCTAATAGGTCACTGCCTTGCTTGGGGTGAAATACTTAATAATATATATATATATATATATATATATATATATATATAAATATATATATATATATATATATAAGTCTTTAATTCAAATAATTATATTGAAGTTTTCTCCCCTCTTGTCATGAGACCTCTTGTGTCGCGAGTTGGAATCATATTTTTAAATAAATAATTATATTTATGCTCTACTTTTGTATCGAGCACTATTTTTTAAAATAATAACTAAAATACTAAGGAACTTTGGATTATTTACCTAACCAGTTCTTTCCTATTTTATATATATTTTCACACACACACACACACACACACACACACACACACACAGTTACTGCATATATATATATATAT